TTCCGATCTACCCCATCTTCCTCCAAGGGCCATTGCCATCATCTCGTATATCTTGTTTCCCAACTCAGCTGGGCTGTCAGGCTGAGTCATCGAAGAAAGAAGTAAGAATGGCATAAAGCTACTCTAAACTATTGACATTTCAACAAAGGAAAAACAAAGGCTTGCTCCTTACTGTGAATCCACTGGAGATCAATGCTGTGTCATACAATAGGTCTACAGCTCTCTTGGCATCTGTGCTGTCAGGGGCGTTCTTGCAAGCAGCCTGCAGTAGAAAACAACTGTCAATCCAGTGATTTTAAGTCTTCTACTTCCAGTCAGGAATAGTTCTCCTGACACCACATGAAAGCATGAAATTTTTGTTTTCGTTTTTCTCATTCACATTTTGATGCATCTATCTCACATATTCGATCTACTGTTTAATAAGAGCGGTCTCATGATCCTACCTTTAGGTCCTTAACGATGGGATGATCTGGGTTAACTTCCAATATTCTCCTGCCCCTCATGAACTCCAAACTTGCAGTATCACCAAGTGCCTGTGCTTTCATCAATCTGCAAAAGCAAATTTTTTTATCATAATCATGGCAAGGGAAGGTAACAATTAACCAGCACTTTTCTTGGTATGCATCCTTAGTGCAAACAAAAATTACCTTTCCATATTGGCAGACCATCCAAACTTGCCAGAAACAAGTACACAGGGAGATGAGCTTAGACGCTTTGAGACTTGGACTTTCGCCACCTTATCACCAAGTTGTTGCTTTATCCAGTCACAGAGAAGATTGTATTCTTGTTCAGTTTCCCTTTCTTTGACCTCATCCTCATCACCTGGTATCATAAACTTTTTGGTGAGAAACATGAGAAAGATAACAAGAAGGAAGCCACAAAGCTGAACATAGTAACACAACTGCCAATAACATCTGAACATGCTAATTAATTTTCCAAATAACAACTAGGGGTGAGTACTAACCAAGCTCTAAATCTTCCTTGCTAATGTCTACAAACTTCTTTTCTTTGTATGTCTGTAGGTTCTGGATGGCCACTTCATCAATAGGTTCTACTAAATACAAAACCTGAGACAAAAGAAACAGCATCAGCAACCTGGGGAGGAAAATTCATCACGAAGGAAAAACAATTGTTTCTGAGACCAATTATTTTTTAATGATGTTTAAATTTCCGTTCCTCCAAAAAATTTAAAAGGAAAACATAATCGTCTTGTCTTTTTTCTACCACTAGCTTGCAAATCAGATTTTCTATACGAATCACCATTGTTCCTCTACTGGA